GAACTGAAGGAAGCAATAAATAAACACGCAGTTCGGAAACCTTCAAACACTTTTGAACACATCATTCTAGAAAACTCGTTAAAACACTTTTTTTTAACACCAAAAAGCAATTTGATGATTTACTTCTGATATATTTCTTTGAATTTATCACAAAAGTGAAGAAATTTTTCCCATTGGGGAATAAATTTTCCATACCACACCTCAGGGATCATTTTCGACTAACTAAATGTGATATTAATTTTTTAGATATCTTGATGAGTCTTTACGGCGTAGATTCATATAGTGCGTAACTATTAGAAATGACAGCTGATTTCAACACATAATTTTATTTCTTAACAGAGCAAGCCTGATACGCTTAAATAGATTTACGTATCCTCATTTATGCATGGGCTATGCACCCCCACCGTTTCGTACAGCTTACGTTTTCTGAACAATGGATAACAGCTAGTAGAGGCTAAGTGACATGTTGTTAGTAGGAAAGGTAAGTAGAGAAAAAAAAGGATGTACAATAATAGCATTGGTATTTATAGGTAATTTCTCTTTTCATTCTGGTAGTCCCGACAGGGGTTCGAGTTCCGGCGAGTGGGATGGCTCCATGGGCGTTTTCACCTGTGTAACGTGGATACGAGCCAGTTTCCCTTATAAAGACCTCCTTCCCTTTCCATGTAGTGACTTGGTATGTTAATATTAGTTAATTATATTAGTTAATGTGGATTTGTTTAAATTTTGAGTTCTGAGATTGGATGGGAGCCATCCGCAAGGCAGGAAAATTAGATAAGCAAGTATGAACAAATGAATTTCGAAAGACGCAGTCCAAAAAAATTATGATGAACAATTTAGAGCAGAAAAGGGAGATACACAGATTAAAAGGAGTAATTGCGAGGCTATTGCTAATTTAAGTTATAATTTTGAGTAGTTACCGATTTTTTTTATATCTGACACGTGTGTGTAATGAAAACAAACTTAGAAGTAATGACTAGCAGAAATTTTGATGGCGCAGATGTGTTGATCCATAATGAATGGGAAATTGGAGGCGAGGGCAGATTAAATATTCATTTTTTATTTCAGCAAACATGTTGCGTCCACAAACAAGTTGGCACGTTAATTGCGCCTATTTCAAAAAGCTCACATTAGCAGACAGACAGTAGTCCAGCTATGCCAAAGCGTTGAAAGCAAGTGCGTTATGTTCAGGGTGAGATCTTAATTCAGACTGAGTTAGTTTTGGTTCCCAATGCATTTTGATTGAATAGTTAATATAACTGTAAAATTACTATTGGCTGCTTGAGTTTTAGTTCCATTTACATCAACAGAATTATGTAATAGTCATATGACATGGATTTATCTAGAAATGACGCAGTCCAGAGAGGGGGTACTATTTTTAGAATTGAGAAAGAAAATTTGCGTTGCTAATTTAATGTTTTATAGATTCTTTATTTTTCGCTAATTTAATCTTTTATTTATTCCTTATTTTTCTTACATATATATATAGATATAGATATATTAAAAAAACAAACGAATAAGTTATAATCGATATCTATTTATGCACTATGAGTTGAAATAACTGGTGTTAATATTGATAAGTTAAATAAATAATTACTTAAATCGAATACCTCTTTAACCTGGAGTAAGGAGCTAGTAAAAACCACTTGAGCCACTGTGAAAAAATATAAATATAAATTAAACGTGTCCAACGTCGTTAATAATTTCATAATTGAAAAAATTACAAAAACGTTAAATATAGAAATCATATAGTACAGGAAAAAAATAAAGAGAATTAGCATCTCTCGGTACATTGTCTTTAGGAGGTTGGTGTAACGAGAGGGGTAATATGTTTGAATGAATGTTTAAATTTATGTTGTTGTTGTGCTGTTTTGAATTTTCGAACTTTCTTGAGAATGATGCGCAGGTTCCCTACCAAAGGAGTACGGTTGCTATAATTTGAAAACATAACATTTAATGGGTGCTTTCCTTGCGTTTACCGGAACAGATGAACATATCACGTCAGACTATGACAGGTTAGTAAAACTATATGATGATAAACAGATGAATGTACTTGACTGGTACTACATGATCTGAGTATACCTGACAAACAGTTCATTTAGTTAGACACGTACTTGGAGGCATAGTAAATTATCCGGAATACTGTTTCTAAGCTGATAATGTGACATTTTTTCTGAATTTTAAAACTTCTGTAACTACGAAAAACTGCAAAATAATTTGTGTCCTCATCAGTCCAGCACCTGCAGACATTTTAAGAAGATAGATCAGTCCAATCCCTAAAGGCGTTTCAATAAGAAAGGCATTTTGCCCAAATTCTTGCCAACTGAAGGAATACTATAGACTATTAAAATCCAAATAATTGAAGAAAAATTAACAAAACATTCCATTTAATTTTAATAAACAAATGGAAGTCGAGCTGAAACTTCTTTAAACAAATACACATACCACGTAAAAAAATAGTGTGTGACTATGAAATATTCTAGTTCTCAGAAATACACAAACTGTGAATAAAATCGACTCGGCAGAAGATAGGGTTGGACGATCTCGCTCCGGAACTGATTTACTTTACTGAATTAATTTACTCCGATTCCAGAAAACGGCATTATAAATCTCGTACAGCTCACGTAGAGCTCTTGTTGAAGCTTGTCAGAAATAGGATCTGCTATTCGTTCATAAATTGGTTCATTTTATTCAGCAAGCCTGATCAAAGAAACAAGAACGGATCTCTTGTTAGAAGCAGGCCAGGAAAATTCGATTTCCATTTTAGGGTAGAAAAGAATATTTATCTTCCTATTTTGAAAGGGAGGTGTTTTTTTTTTTTTTTTTTTTTTTTTTTTTTTTTTTTTACTATTTCGAAATTTTTGAAAATTTTATTTTCAGGAACTTTGTTTTTAGTTTTGCGTAAAAAGGAGGTTTTAAAGAATCTCACAACTACAGCTGAAAGAAATCAGTTCAGCGAATTAGTATTTGATTGAATCCTTCTTTGCTCTTCGTGCCAACCTCACTAACAGGTGCCGATCTCTCTGCCCGTTCGATTCTTTCTGCTGTTGGTCCATCCTCTCTAACCGTTCTTTATTCACTCGTCGTTCCGCATCTTTTTCATCAAAGTTAGTGTTAGTGAGAGGAGTCATAAAAAGTTCATTCATTTCAATGAGCCAACAGTTATGATCTAATCCTGTAAAAGAGCAAATTTGTCCATCTCTAGAAAAGAGTTCAAAAATTAATTTCGAGTATGTCTAAAGCATACAAACAAAAGAGAAATTAATATAAATAAAATCATGCACAAAGTATTATTAATCTTCCGTATAAGAATCCTTTTATGGGTACTGGAATACGGCGAAGCACACAAAGGCTATTTGCATAAGGGATGAAGGTGCTCTCGTGAAAGAAAATGGCTCGTATTCACATTACGCATGGAGGAAAGCACTAAAACCAACCATACAGCTCTTTAGCAGGGGATCGAACCTAGGTCGACCTCTCAGTACTCAGCGGTCTTAACCACGTAGCCAATTGTGGGGTCTGACTCCTACTACTAAAAATACTCTAAATTTTATTTAAAATTTGCTTGTAGTGCTTTATCATGCTTTAGCCTTTTTTTAATATTTTCTACTATTGTGAACTGTAAACTTTCTCATCAGATGATTTTGGTCTTCTGTGTAGATGGTCTAAACGGTATGCATAACATAATTATGTATCTATTATAACAACGTGTGTATGTACTCAAAGAACGCAAGTCTCAAATAATGAATGTTCATCATTAAACACATTTAATGTATGTCTTACCGTAATCAAGCTGTCAAGTACATAACTAATGTATTCATGTAACTTTATCGTGTATCCAATGTATTAATGTATTTTATTGATGGATCGTATTTCATACATTAAAAAATTCGCTATTCAAATTATTTTGTATGTATATGTATTATTATTAGTATTTATCGATGTATCTAAGAATTATGGCAACGTGCGCCCAAGAGCATCACCAACGCATTCTAGCAGCTAACATATTCCAATAGCTTATATATTCATGCAGCTAACTTCATGTACAATACTTCATGTACAACAGCTAACGCATTCGTGTAACATCATCCAGGTCCCTGTTCGTTCATGCGACTTCACAGAGAAGCAATGCATTCCCGAGGCAGGCCTCCTGGAGCTGCCGGTTCAAGATAGTGAAGAGCGTGAGACATATACCTGCTTTCCTTTGTTAGATATTAGGTGTCCCCGTCCTCCGTAACCTGTCACCTGTGTAGATGGTCATCTTAGAAAGTTGATATTCAGTGTCAATGCTTGTTTATGATTTCATACTTTGTAGTATTAAGTTTTTTCCGTAGATATTTAGAAATCAGCAGTGCTATCGCTGGGATTCAAACTCGAGACCACCCGACTGCCAGCTAACATGCTTCTAAATTAAATCATAAAAGCAGTGGTAAGGAAGTCGAAATTTCTTTTCAAATTGTCCCTTTCAAAGGGGACTGTCACAGGAGAATTCACTGCGTTTTTTTATTTATTTATTTATTTATGTATTATCATTTATTATAATAGTTTTTGTCTTATTGTAATCGTTTGTATATTTTCATTTGCATTTTGGCTGTGTTTTTTATTTGTGTTTATAGTTTTTAATTTTGTTTTAACTTCGTCTTTCATGCGATATGATATTAAATTTTGTCCGGATTATTTCTTCGTCAGTAAATGATCTTTCATTCTGCGATATTTATTCCCGTGTTACAAAACGCTGGTATTTTTCGGTACTACTGGAGTTACATTTCATGGTTTACTTTCCTTCCATTCATGTGTTCGCTTCGAGCTGTAATAAAAAAAGTAGCTTTTCTTTTCTTGTTTTGTCGGCTTAACTATTAGAAAATGTTTAAAAAAACATCGAACACATAAAAATATGAATTATCTTCTTTTTGCTTCCTTATACGTGATTTTTAATAAAATTAGAATTATATGATATTTCAAAATTATCATATATATCACTTTTATTTTCTCGTTTATAGGTGTAACAGAAATTAGATGTGTGATGAAGACGGTAATGAGGCTGGACATGGCGATGATGCTGTTTACTATACGAAGGCAAGCACTGTAAGAAGGATGACCAAATTAGTGTGATAGGTTAAAAAATAGTGTATCAGTTTTATTCATTAACAGAAAAACAGAGTATACAAAGGTTGTTATATCGTTTTCGATCACGGAGCTTTTCTGTAGCGTAATAGTTGTATTCTTAATAACTATTGTGTTTCTTAAATCTTCTTTAAATCTTATGAAATCTTGTAAAGTTAAAAAAATCTGCCTTCTATTATATACAGAGTTGCACTGTTCACGGAAATAGAACGCTCCTATGAAAGCTTTTCGTAAGCTGAAACAGCGTCAAGTGAATAAGCATTTATCATTTAATAATATGCGGTAAGGTTCGAGTAGAAAATTCATCTGTGCAAATTATAAAAGCGTGTTTGTTCACCTGCAAGTTCGAAAGTTTTAACGACCGATGAAATGAAATGTGGCATTACTACTTCAATACTTAAAAAGAAAAAAAAGAAGTGTGCTTTAAATCATCAAAGTGATTTAATGCTTAAGAAATTCAGCATTACAGTTCGTTCAAGGTCGTTGATCTGTGTTTAATGCGATTCAAGTATGTGCGCTAGAAAATTATTATATACACTTCCGCTTTTCCTAAATAGCATTTCGCCTTTGAAAAACTGAAAATTATTATCTTCATGTGAAATTTCTCAGGTTCATTTTCCAATGAGACAAAATTATAAAATATGGCTGCGTAATGTTTCTGCAATTTGATTGCGCTGTTTTGCAAAAATATGAAATTATTGTTCATGAGATGAAAGCATAACATGTCAATATCTTAAATCTTTTGAATGCATTAATTTTACGAGTATTTTTAATGTTATTTCGTGAAGCTTTTTCAATTCTTTTTCATATACTAGTTGCACTTAATACTTTTCTTGATCATGAAATAGATAACTTAGTCGTTCATCAATGTAATTAAAAATGTTTTATGGAATAGTAAATAGCTACTATAATTATTATTATTTTAAGATTTGAATATATAGTGATGTTTCTTCTATTCGATTAAATGTATAGCATTATTAAAAAATTAAAAATTATATGACATTAAAGATCGAATTTTGCAGATTTGGTTTAACAAATTAAAGAATTATAAGATTTTGTTTATGGAAGGTTATTAACTTGATCGATCTGTTTTTGTATTGTTGTTTAAATATCTTTAAATTAGTAATTTTACTGGACTACGTCATTTCTTGATCAATCCATCTCGTATGACTTGGATAACGCTAATGACGTAGCTAATTCCGAATTTGAACTCAAAATTTCAAGAACTGAAACCTTTCTCTTAACAAACAACCTAATCCGAAACCTTCTCTTCGTGAGCCTACATATTGCATAATTGCGCGCTTTCGCTTCTATCTCTGTTGCCGCTAGGACGATGTCGCCCTGCCTTCTTCCTAAAATGTTTTCAAAAACGCAAATATTCTGGGAACAGACCTGGAGAGCGCCAAGAAAATTGTGGCTGCAAATGTCAATGGAAATAAAGTTGAATATTTAATCTTACTTGACTGCCAAGTTTCCTCTTCAATATGGATCTGTGTTCTGCGCCATCAACATTACTACAACTTTTTCATCAGATATATATGGGAGAAATTTTGTTAAGTTTTATCTTTAAAAAAAAACGCTGTTCCACCAAGCCATATAGTAAATAAAATGTAAGCTAACTCTAAATTAATTAAGATTCATATAATAAATACATAGATCTTGTTAAAGGACGTGTAACTTCACATTCAGAAGGTTAGGAAGCCCATTGGAATGGTTGAGAAGAGATGGCAAGGAAAGATGGTGTACTGAGATGAAGTACTTAAATACAGACGACTAGAATGTCCACGAGTTATACGTCTAGAGTGTTCGCAAAAGACATGCTCAGCGTATGCGTTTTTAAAACGACATACACTGAGTCTGAATAGAGTGTTCGCAAAAAATATATGCAAAGAAGCCCCCCATAAGATGACCATTTGTGGAACTTGTCGTATTAGAAAACATGACAATTTGTGATGCTCAGTAGCTTTATTTAATTATTTTGCAAAAAATAGTCACCAGCTTCGGAGGTGGTCGCCATGAAAGGTTCCTCTGTATTTATAATAGATATCTCGTCGTCGTTTTTGATCTGTTACATGGTTATCTCTGCATATCTTCATATGAGGCCGCCCAGCCGGTATAGCGGTTAGTGACGCTAACTGCCATGCCGATCGGCCCAAGTTCGAATCCCGTAAGAGGCATGGGTGTTTGTAAGCGTATAGAGTCTGTCCGACGTGGCACTCGAAATACACAGCAAGCCGAAAGTCCTCTTGAGAGGTTGTGGATAGGGAAAGAGGCATGGGAGACTCTTGAAACGGTTTTGGGATACTACTTCTCATCTGGTAGCCAAACATTTTCAGTTCGGCAACTTCTCTCCAAATGTCATAAGATTCTAGATGCTATATTTGGAAATGTAAAATTCAGCTTAATGCTTTTCAGCTTTCGTGTAAAATTCAGCTTATTTTAGACGAATAAGAAAAATTTTGAAATTTTATTTATCTAAAATAAATTGAATTTTACATGAAATCAGCAGGAATTGAACCTTTAAATAGCAATTAAATAAATGTAAGTTATCCGTCTTTATATCTATACTCATGTTGGAAGCTAGGGATTCTTGTGAATCGTAAGAAATTATTGCAGTTTTGTAAGACGAAGTTTCGTGAAATGTACACCGAACTTCTTCTAAAATATGCAATAGCTATCAGTTGACCTGGCAACTAGAAATGTGCTGCGGTGCTAAGAGCACAACCTTTTTTGCGCAGTACGCGAAGGAACTTCAAAAGGAAGGTTTGAACTGCGAAATAAGGCGTTGTGCCTTTCGGTAATAGAACTGCTGTGTAGCAAATAAATGTGGCTCAATGAACCCATATGGAAGACATTATGCAAAGCACCGTCATCGGTCGACTGGAGACTGGCCAAACTGAAATGGCAGTGCCCCAGGAGTCGCATGTTTCACTAAGTGTCATTCTAGAGTCTGGCAATTGTTCCAGTGTGATTGGAAATACATCCCAGCGTTTCATCCATTGACTGCAATGCAAAAGTAAGACTCTTTGAATGTCACTAACTGCCGGAGGATTCAGACAGGTTACAGCATGAGATCTTGCCAAAGACCTGTCGATTCTCAACAGAACGATAATTCCAGACATGTTGCATATAGATGATTTAGACAATCAATATATATGCTCTCCGAACAGCAGAAGTGCGACTGTCATCAAATAGCCTATGCAGCTTTCATCAAATAACCTATACAGCCTTGATACAGGTACCGTTATTTTGCTTGGACCGGGCATGGAAGGGGCTCATTACAAGGCTAAACAGCATCTTTTGGTGGTAATAATTAGTTTGTAATGGGATTGCATAAACTGAACTCACGTACGAATTCTTTTTGTGTGCATGGGGAAATTTAAAAAAGACAGTCTACAACAAAATGTTTAAATGTTCTGTAATTTATTCGATGCTGTCTTGCTCATCGATAAAAACAACCTCACAGAGCCATCTTAATCTAGGAATGTTTATATTCCCTGCCTGAAATGAAAACTTTTAAACCGCAGCAAACGCCTATGGAACACATTGGGAGATACCTTGCAAAACGTCATCTCTGAGAAATTTTCTGTACCTTTAGACTGACACTCCATTTTCTGAGCCAAAATATTATACATATATACACTGTGTCCACACACGTCATTATCTAGCCTTTATTTGTTTAACTATTTGTTGTAGATATACACTTCCAGTTACGAAAATGTTTTACATGGCCTAAATATTCAAGTTTTGACATTTTTAACTTTTTAAAACAAATGAGTTCTGTGAAATATGGTCACCCCATACCTATGCTTATATTATATTAAGGAAAATTTTATTCCCCTTATAAGAAACAAAACGCTTCATTTCCGTACAATAACTGAGACATTTAATTTCAGAATTGGGAGCATTTGACATCATTTGCAACTTACCTGGAGGGGTCGGTTAATAATTTAATTCAAGATGATTGATAAGATTTAATTTTTTTCTCCTTAAATGCCATTCAATGATATTCTTTTGTGATTTGCTAGTGTATTTAACTTATCATTTTGTTGCATTCGATGTGCCTAGAGAATTTTCTCACAAGTAATTTATAATGTCTAAAATTACATTATAAATATTTTCATCAAGTTTTATTACTTTTGAATCAACCTAATAATCACACAAAAAATTCATTAAGCTACAAATATTTTTCATGTTTAATTAATTCAAATAATGTTACGAGTTAGCTATGGGACCATTCCACAGCCTGCCAGTATATTCTAGGGAAAACGAATTCTATCAGATTCTGTTAATCAGATCTCCGTGTTGAAAAAAAATTATATTGATCAACACTTTTCGCAATCATCTGCATAAGAATGATCTTTTCTTAATTTCTTAATGTCAGAGACCCTTTCTAAACTGATATTTTATTTTTAGTTGTCTACAAATGCAAACATTTTGCTGTTCAGTTTGTAAACGGTCCCTGAAAACAATCTCCGATTTTAATATCTAATATCTCGGTCAATTGTGTCTTATGGAAGTAATACTTTTAGTATTTTATGTTGTCGAAACTTTGCCATTTATTCATGAAATAATGCGCAACTACCGAGAAACGTATAAAAAGCTAAATTTCGTAATTGTTGCAAAATTTATTTCTTTAAATTTCAGAATGTCGAAACATATATATTTGAATTATTTAAAACATTTTTTTTAACTTAAAATATATATCTAGGCTAACGGTTGTGAAAATAAAGACTGGATAAGGTTTTTTGTGGACACGGCATATAGTCAGCTTTCATTATGGTTCATGCAGTATGCAGTATTTTATCCATAAGTAATATTTTATTCAAGAAATTATTTTAATGAATCATCATGGACACTTAACAGTTTCCTTGGGCTTAATGTTTATTTTTTAAAATTTGATTTCATTTCTTTTTACGTCATTTTGTTAAAACAAAACTCCGGCCCTTCGGATGCTTTGTTTGCCCTATGCACCCTTTTCAACACTGCTAAAAAATCTTTAATGCCAATCCTTTCCAAAACACGAAAAATACATAAAAACTTATTTAGATTTATATTATTTTTAACGTGCTTTATAAATTATGCAGCAAAAAGTATAGAAAATGTTGATAAACATCAAAACTTGAATCAAAATAATTTTTATGTACATAAAGTAAAACAAGATACTTAACAGCTAAATTATTCCGCAAATCACATTCTCTTCCCTAAACTACGAAATGCCCCCGGTTGAGAACCCTGAGCTAGAGGATACTTAGTATTTTTTCTCATTTTGCAAATCAGCTGTAAAACTGTCTCCTTCAGCTTTTCACATATGAATACCAGACGTTTGAACTCGAGTGTTTGCACACCAAATTATTTTATTCTCGGACAGTATATTTATCATTAAGAATAAGTGAACATACGTAATGAATGACAAAAGACGATACTCAGTTATTAGGATCTCTTCTGTAAAACGAAAGCTACCTTCGATTCCTGCCACTGTTCAAAAGGGTAGATTAAACAATATTTTAATCAAAATCGTCAAAATATTAAACAATATTTTGATAATTTTGAACTTGAAAAAGACCGTCACTAGTGCTGCCATCTATACTGAAGTATCAACACTAAGATCAGTTTTTAACTAACAGATTAAATTAAATGCATACCCCATTTGAAGTATATTTTTACTTAATTATAACACTGACATACTTTCGTTTTCCCTACGAAGACTAGTTTATGAAGCAATTAACTTAATTTTATTTTTATATTTGAGCAAAACCTGCGCTTCAGATTTGCAACTTATGGGAACTAATTTCAAATTCTCACGCACTAGGATACCTCCCCACGCCATTTTTATCGTTTTGAGTGCCGTGGATCAGCGTCCGATTTACAAAACTGGGAAAAACCTATTACGGAGCTTCCTCATTTTTTCTTTTTTAATTTCTAGTAATAGGTGTAACTGTATAAATGTCTGAATGAATGATGTCTGAATTAAAGTAGTAGTTCTCATCGATATATATGTGTATATTTAGCTCCCCCCCCCCCATTTTTTAAAGAAGAAGAGTATGGCATCGAAATCCAAAGAATTTTAATCAAAAAGTTTGATCTACGATTGCCTTTTTACTTAATATTAAATTTTACATTGGCGTAATTCTTTAATATTTTAAGATTATTAAATATGCCCTTTATTTATTGTTATTAACCTGCACTTTTACAGTATTTCCTTAAGAACTCTCGAAAACCTAAGAAATATTTTATGACCCTTCCATCACAAAAAGAACGGAGAATAGCTATGTAAAATAATACATATTGTGCTGCCATCTGCCCATCTAATAAACAAGTACACTTAAGGCTTTATGTTCTCTTTCTTTCTTTCTTTATTCTTTTTTTTTTTTTTTTTTTTTTTTTTTTTTTTTTTTCAT